GAGTTAAGTTTAAACAGGTGGGGCCTGTTTCTTTAACAATAGTGATTGTTTCTGAGCAAAAGATAGTTTTCTGATACTGAAGGCAATTCCTTTAAATTCTACAGGCCAACTAACTCCTCTTATAAATTATTTGCTTAATAACCTTAAAAAAATAAATTAGTATAATAGTTTAACTCAGCCTAAGCAGATGAGAAAAAATTATTAATTAAAAGATCTTAATTTTTTTTACCTATGTCTTTAAATAAAGTATATCATTAGTCATCCTAATATTTCTGTATTCTTTCACACTTGCATTATGCTGTTTTGGACAGAAAAAAAAAAAAGTTCAAATAAGAACTGTAGGTTTGGCATGATAAAATGTTGTTAACAGATTTCCCCAGAAGAGGAAGACTAGTTGCATAAGCCTCACACTACCAGAAGAAGAAAGCTTCCTTCAGCATCATCTATTTAGCACCTCACTTTGCAGCGGAGAGCTCCCTAATCTATGGATTAGCAACTTTAATTACACCTGTAGGAGTGATAGCCCTTCAAACTCCCAGGTCCCATCACTCAAGGAAGGGGTGGTATAGGGTGTGTACACCAAAGGTGGAGGATGGTGGGGCCATCCTATAATCCTGCTACCACATGGGGGTAGCAGCTGTCCTTAGAAGAAATGTTATGTAGGAGACTACATAGTGCATTTAAAACTATTTGCTGTAAACAAATCCACTGTATTGCATACTGATGCTATTTTAAGTCTTGCTACTTTTACAAATACAATCTATGAGTCCTAGGATAAGCCTGTGGTCCTTGGAGGTGTGTAGGCATTCCCCAGTTAAGGTTAGAGTGAAGGCGTTTACATAGAGGCCAGAGTGTACAGGGAACTCCTGGGCTTCTCCAGTTGAGAGGAAGGGTCCCATCCACTGGACATTATACACAGTGACCTCAGGAAATGGGAGTCCCAAATCGTTTATTCCACCTGCTTATAGGACCCTGAAGAAAAGTGTTAAGATCCCAGGGTCATAGTGAGTACCAATAAGGTCTGTCTATAACGTCTCGTCATGCTTTTCCTGTGCCTCAAGGTGTGAGGTGGGGGGTGTGTAGAGTAAACTGCAGGCATGGTGATAATTTCAGGTTGGGGTTCCTTCCACCCCTTCCTATGCCCAACCCACCTTTTCTGTCCATAAAGCCTGGGAGCTTGTTCCTTTCAGACACTCATTAGGAAAGACTGGGAAAAGACAAATATCATACCCCTATGAAAAAGGAGAGCTACTCTGTATATGGAGCCCTGGTGATGCAGTAGTTAAGAGCTCAGCTGCTAACCAAAAGGTCAGCAGTTCAAATCCACCAGCTGCTCCTTGGAAACCCTATTCTGTCATATAGGGTTGCTATGAGTTGGAATCGATTCAACAGCAACGGGGGTTTGGAGGGACTCTGTATATATCTGTGAGTCATAAGAATAAAAGCAAACGAGAAGAGTGAGGCAGTGATGTCCAGGGTGGTGTGGGCCCTGAACTTGGCACTGGGTCTCCAGCCCCAGTGTTCAGGACCTTTGGCCCTAGTAGGGAATCTCACCCACTTGTCTACTGAAGTGACCGGGGGTTCCATGATGCTATTCTTGTGCAGATTCCTCCTGAGTCTGGGCTTGGAAGGCTTTGAGGATGCCCTCCCTTAGCTTCAGGCCTTTAGCCCAGGAAGCCAGAGTTCTTTCCAGCTTTCCTGAGCAGCGCTGCTCTCAGATATGGGCAATGCCCACTGGGATACAAGCATACCTCAGTAATAGAGGAACTTCAGACCACCTCAGGTGCTGCCTTCTCTGACCACATGGACCCTCCACCACGACATCCCCAGGGGCTGAGTGCTGCACCAGATTGCCAGATCAGCTGCTTCCAGGAGCCTTCGCGGCTCGATGGGAGCTGCTACAGAAGGATCTCTTTAAAAAAGGGCTCTGATAGGGTGGGCAAGCTAAGATTTTCAGATTACAACGCAGATGGCAACTGAGTTTATTTTCAGTGAGGTTTATAAATGGAATGTTAACATAGAGTGAATATAGACAGCCCTGTGGCAGCCTCAGAGTGGCCTCCTCCCCTCCTTCTCCTCTTGTCCTTCCTCCCTCTCCTTCCCCTCCTCCCCTCCCATTGCTCCTCCCCCGTCCCATTTCCCCTCACTCTTCCCCTTTCCCTTTCTTCCCCCCTTCTCTCCCTCCTTCTCTCCCTTCTCTCCCCTTTTCCCTCCTCGTCCTCCTCTCCTCTTCCTCACCACCATCAAGCACTCCATCTGTTGCCGGGGTCCTCTGCCCAACCTGGGCAGCCCCTATGAGGTTCTTGCCTTCTATTGACCAAGAATAACCAGGAGAGGCTCAAGTTTTCTATGCAAAGCTTTACTGAGCAAAAGTAGCTTGCGAGCGGAGACAAAGAGGGACAAAGCAACGCTAGATTTTGTATCCCCCGAACAAAGCATTGGCTAGGACTTAAAAGGTTTTTAGGCAGGAAAAGGCATCATCTTTATTCATGAAAGAGGCGGGGTTATGAAGATTAGGTGCGTGCGCAGGAGGCAGTTCAAGATGGAACCCATAACAAAGGCGCCTGGGACTGGATGGCAGGACTCCTTATGGGGTGCCGCGCCTGCACAGTCTCCCCCGTGGTGCCAGCTCAATTCCTGTCGCGGATCTGTCGGTCACCTTGCGGATGTCTGCGCATGCTCCAGGGACAAGCTCGGGCCAGATCCTCTGAAAAACATCGAGTACATTGAGAAGTACATTGAGAGCTGGGTGGGTTGTTTGTTCTTTCATTATTGCATGTTCCAAGGTATGGGTTCTGTATCAGTAGTTAAGCACATGTTTTTAGTTCAGGGTTCTTTGCCTAGGGGCTCAGTCCCTTTTTCCCTTCCCTGTCTGACATCCACACCTTCCTGGGTGAGTCCCACCCCTCCGATGACTCCCAGGACCACAATCTCCTTGTTGTGCCCAAAGCCTGCCCCGTTCATTCTCTAGAATAAGCGACCGAAAACTCTTATCCGTTGGAAACTCTCTTTTGAAAGGACCCACTAAAACCCACTGCCATCGACTGGATTCTGACTCATAGAGACCCCATAGGGTTTCCAAGGCTGCAAATCTCTGTGGAAGCAAACGGCCACATCTTTCTCCCATGGAGCCTTTGGTGGTTTCGAACAGCCAATCTTTCGCTTAGCAGTCAATTGTTTTAACCACTGCGCCACCAGAACAACCTTTTGAAAGGGCAGGCCCTTTCAAATTCATTTGTACTTTGTGTAGGAACTCAATCAATGGTAATGATAAGGAAGAAAGACTGAAAAGCAAGTGCTTTTAATGGTATAAAGTCAAGGTTTGACATTGGGAAAAGGAAATCAGAACATGATTAAATTTTGTTTTCATCTACTAAATATCAAGGCTGTGTCTCTCTTCTGATAAGGGAGAATGTCAGCGTTCTTGACAGTGAGCAAGACGACAGTGGGTGCCACTTCTGTGCCATGTCTCAGAGGCAGCTGACCTTGGCTGGTGGGCTGGGTGACGTCACCAGTGAGCTAACCCTGGCACACCCACTTGGCTGGCAGGCAGCAAGGCTTGTCACAGCCAGGCAGCAGCTTTGAGGGATCCCCCGGCATTCTAGGGAGTGTTGTGTTGCAGAGGTTGAATGCTTTTGTGGTCACACTGGAGGCTGATGCTACAGCCGCCAAAAGGCACTCTCTAATGGTTTGTCTTGCTTTTCATTTTTTATTGAGGAGAGGCAATATCATTTTATTTTGCTTGCCCTGCTGTGCCTAGAATTATATTTGATGGATCTTGGATGAACACATGAAAATACAGACTTAAAATGGCAGGGGTACTTCTCTCTTCCGTATCTGGGCAGCTGATTGCTCGGAGCCCTTGAAGCTTGCTAAGGGCTTCCTCAAACCCAAACTGTCACTAAAATAGATGTGTTGTATGCATGGCTGCCAAGCTTTCCAAACTCTTCATACTCCTTATCCAAAGTTCAGGAAGCAGATAGATGTGGCCAGCACAGTCCACCTCAAGATACAAACTAACTGTCCAAATTCCTACCCTCTGGGAACTCAGGAGAGGAGTGACGTTTGCTGGGGAAGACCAGTAAGAAGGTGACAGTTAACGCGCAGTGAGTTCTAGTGTTTGTTTTTTGTTTTTTGTTGTTTCCCTTAGCGTCACCCAGAGGATTCCCATGAGCTCATACAGTGTATTACATTGAGATAAATTTCTGTTTCTTCACTTATTTAAATATGGATAAAATTGCCCTCAAAGAATTCTTTGAAATGCCCTTTGTAGGTTGAACTAGAAAAATTTTCCAAGGTGAAAAAAAAAAAAAATCTAAAGAAGAAACCTACAAATAATGAATGTCCTCATCGTTGAAGGCTGTCTGTGATGGGCGCTGTTCTAAGCAAGTGGTGTGCACTATTGCTGATCTTGAGTGGTGCGGAGTGGATGGGCCTGTTAGTGTCTCAGTGCTGCAGGTGAGGAAAGAGAGCCAGGATTCAAATTCAGGCCACCAGATGCCTGTCCTAGCTGCCGAGTGGCTCATGCTACAATTCAAATCCAGTGTCACATGATTCAAAGTGTTTGTTTGTTTGTTTGTTTTTAATTGTAGTAAAATACACATGACATAAAATTCACCATTTGGACCATTTTAAAGTGAACAGTTCAGTGGAATTTAGTCGTTCATACTGCTGTGCAGCCATCCCCACTGTCTAGTCTCAGAACGTTTCCATCATCCCAAAGGAGACCATGTACCCACTGGCAGTCACTCCCATTCCTCTGCCCTCACCACTGGAAATGTATTTTCTATTTCTATAGATTTGCCTCTTCTGGACATTTCATATAAAGAGAATCATACAGTGTATGGCCTTTATGAATATTTTTTTTTTAAAAACTTTTTATTATGGAAATTTCAAACACACAAAATGAAAAGACATGTTAAATGAGCTCCATGCACCATCACCCAGATTTGAAGGTCACCTACCTGTAACAGTCTTGCTAACAAGTGTCTCTTTACCAGGGAAGAAAAGAGGTTCGTGAACCGATTCTGGAAGGAGCTCCGCGTGGGGGACTTTGTGCGCCTGCGCTGCAATGAGATCATCCCTGCCGACGTCCTCCTGCTCTCCTCCAGCGACCCCGATGGGCTGTGCCACATCGAGACTGCCAACCTGGATGGGGAAACCAACCTGAAGCGGCGTCAGGTGGTGCGTGGCTTCTCCGAGCTTGTAAGTGTGTGCCCATGTCCCCCCAACGGCCCTAGGGGTTCCCCCCACCCCAGAACTCCGCCGTGAGGCTGCCCACCACGCTGCTGTCCTGTTAAGAGGTGTAAGCTCGAGGCCCCAAGGACCCGGCTTGCCGGTGGGGTGCAGGGGGAAACAACTCAGTGTTTCTGACGTTGATCTCCACAGTGCTCCACTGAGTCTCTCAGGGTGGTGGTTGGAGTCCCTGTAAAGGCATCGGGATGATGACCAGGAGACCTGACATTTACTCAGCTCCGCTTAGTTCACTAAGCGCAGCAAGGCGAGAAAGGCTGGCCGTCCCATCACGCAGCTTGCTCAGGCGTTCTCCTCCGGGTGTTCCACCCCCACACAGGACCTCCAGGTCTGCACCCCGACTTAGGCCAGTGCCAGCGTCTGCGCAGGGCTGTGTCAGCAGTGACAACCACAAAGGGAAGTTTGGGCTGGTTGCCTTGTGGCAGAAAATCTCAGACCCCGTTGAGTGTATGTAATCTGTCCACAGTGGAATGAGAAAGGACTCCCCTGTCCCCACTGCCAGGTTTGTGCAGAGCATACCACTGTGCTACGTAGATAACCGCCAAGGAGTTAACTCTGACTCATGGCAACCTGTGTACAACAGAACGCAGTGCTGCCCAGTCCTGCACCATGCTCACGGTCACCAGCATGTTCTAGTCTATCATCGAAGCTTCGTGCCAATCCAGGGGTCTCCCTCGTCCTCATTTGCCCTCTGCTTCACCAAACATGACGTCCTCCTCCAGTGATTGATGGCTCCTGATGACATGTCCAAAGCAAGCAAGTCAGACAGTGTTCTTTTGTGATCCATAGGGTTTTCACTGGCTAATTTTCAGAAGTAGATCACCAGACCTTTCTTCCTAGTCTGTCTTAGTCTGGAAACTCCACTGAAACCTGTTCAGCATCATAGCAACACCAAAGCCTCCACTGACAGATGGGTCGTGGCTGTACATGAGGTTCATTGGCCAGGAATTAAACTCAGGTCTCCCTCATGGAAGGTGAGAATTCTACCACTGAATCACCACTGTCCATATAAATTTTAATAAAAATAATTAAAATTAAAAAAAATTGCTGTTGAGTCATGCAGCCTTTCCCACCAAGCTGTAGACATCACATTCAGACACTGTAAGGGTAACATTGGTAACATTTGACATGCAAGTGTAACATATAATGCAACATTTCACATATAAGGGTAGCATCTGTAACATTTGCAGTCATTTCTTCAAAATTAGAAGTCCCCTAGCTATGATGCTGAACAGGTTTCAACAGAGCTTGTGTGTGCATAGGTGTACATTCCAAATAAGAAAGTAAAATGAAATTTCCCACACTTCCTAGTGTGGGAAACGTTTGAGTACCCTCACACTAAAGATGTACATGATTAGCCAAATCTGCACTGACTCCCAGACAGTGACGGGCTTTCCTCTTATTTTGCATTTGTATTTAAAGTTGTCAAGGATTTCATTTTACTTGGATCCACAATCAACACTATGGAAGCAGCAGTCAAGAAATCAAACGACACATTGCATTGGGCAAATCTGCTGCAAAAGACCTCTTTAAAGTGTTAAAAAGCAAAAATGTCACTTTGAGGACTAAGGTGCACCTGACACAAGTTCATGGTATTTTCAATCTTATATTCATGTGAAAGCTGGACAGTGAATAAGGAAGACCAAAGAAGAACTGATGCCTTCAAATTATTGTGTTGGCGAAGAATATTGAATATACCATGGACTGCCAAAAGAATGAACAAATCTGTCTTGGAAGAAGTACAGCCAAAATGCTCCTTAGAAGCAAGCATAGCCAAACTTTGTTTCACATACTTTGGACATATTATCAGGAGGGATCAGTCCCTGGAAAAGGACATTATGCTTGGCAAAGTAGAGGGTCAGCGAAAGAGAGGAAGACCCTCAAGGAGATGGATTGACACAGTGGCTGCAACTATGGGCTCAAGCATAGCAACGATTCTAAGGGTGACACAGGACCAGGCAGTATTTCGTTCTGTTGTTCGTAGGGTCACTATGAGTTGGAACTGACCTGAGGGCCCCTAAAAACAACATTTTTACAAATTCTAGTACTTTCAGGCAGTGACAAAGTACAGGTTTCCTTTTCAAAGGAGAGTCAGTCCTCCCTCAAGTTACCTGACAGAATTAAAGGAGCTCAGAAAAATCACTTCAAAAGTCCAAGCTTGTAGGAGACAAAATGAATTTTTTTTGTTTCTACTTACACATGCTTCTGAAATTATCTACCACAGAAAAACTACAAGTAAACAAGTACAGTTTGCAAGACACTTGGTTCTTATACCCAAGATTCTTTTTCCTTAGCTTTTCAAGTTGCTAGTGTTTAATTAAATCAGCCTTTTTAGTATTCTCAGATGTGGAATTAAACATAGCCACATAATCTATCAGTCTAAGTGGAAAACAAAGACAGTTTACTTTGTGTGCTATTTGGATAGCTCAATATTAAGTCTTTACAAAATTTATACTTTGGGGCATTTTCATTGTCAAATTTAACAGTCACATATTTTTCTTGAAAGATGTTAAATGTATAACAGGAAAGACTATCGAAAAGAAATTACTTTAAGAACACAATACCTTTATTTAGTTTAAAATTTTATTTCCATCAAGTGTCGATATTCCAAACAGGTAGGTAGGTAATATAATTATTTGAGACATGAAATGTTTTATAATATCAACTATGTGTAATTCATGGGAATATGTAAGTTTAGTTATACTAAATTTTGTTTGTTTGTTTATAATCCTAGTGACTTTGCCACAGATTCTCTGTCTTGAATCTATGTCTGTCAAATCACTGCTTTAATAGAGAGAAAAGTACTCTGATCTTACTGAAAAAATTTAAATGCCAGGGGCTTGATAATATTAGGTTAACCTGAAGTATTTAGCCAAAAAGATCTTTAGAAATTTGAATATTTTTTGGTATGCATTTGACTTCACTTTTTGTTGTATGGTTGGAAGTGTTGTTTTGTTTTTCCTCTAGCAAAAAGACAAAACAATAAGTGGTTTTTATTCTGCTTATGGTGGCATATACTTTGCAATGCTATTTTCCCCTTTGACTTTATTTTCATTGTAAAACATGGGATTTAATCAAATTGCAACTTTCCTAAATTTGGTTGAATTGCATCAGCGATGGCAGAGGCTTATGGCTTTGCTTTGTGTATTTGTGTGTACGTGTTGTGTTTCTGGAACAGGAATTTTGTATACCAGTAGGAATAATTAACGATGTGAGACCGATGGGTGCGTATGTATGTGTATGTGTGTGAATGTGTGTGTGTATGTGTGTTTGTGTGTGAATGAGTGTATGTATGTGTGTTTGTGTGTGTGTATGTGTGTGAATGAGTTTGTGACTGTGTGCATTCCAAAGAAGAAGGCAGCAGGAAGCAATGTTGCTTTCTTAGGCTCTAATTTTCTATTGTCTTTCCATTCAGGAGAGAATATTCTCTCCTGGGCTAAGAGGTAGCATGTAGCGCACTAGAGACATACTGATCTACAGGGGACCATCCCAGGGAATCTGGGCTTTCATCTAGTGTGAGCACCTCTTGTGAGTCAGCAGTGCCACGGGGGTAGCCAAAGGAGCTGCCTCTGCAGGCGAGGTTCCGAGCACTTCATTCCTTGGTGGGCTGGGTTCTGAGCACTTCATTCCTTGGTGGGCAGTCTTGGCCTCTGCCATTCCCCTCACTTGTTGAAAGGCTTTGTTTGTCACAGGCACAGCCACGCCTGTGTTCACCACACCCTGGTTCCCACAGCCATTTGGGTTCCTTGAATTATCCTAATTTTGCTTCTGAATTGGAAGATCTGTTTTCTCCATTTCACCAGTGATTATTGGGGACGGTGTATAATGCTTTGGATTTGCACATGTTCCTCCAGTGGAAGGCAGTGTGCATTTCTCATTGTGGTACTCGTGCTGCTTAGAGTCCCGTCCACCCAGGACTGAGGGAAATGGAAGCAGAGAGACTCACGTTTGCACTTTCACAGTAATGTTAATGTAAAGCGGAGCTTATTAGGGAATCTACGTTTAAGGAAAGCAAGAACTGTACTTGGGAAAACACTACCTACTTGTGTATGTAGGAAAGTGTGCTTCTTGATGTCTAAATTGGTTGGAAACAGTATTTAAATAGATTCAGGGCTCTTCCACCTTTCCTTGTGAGTAACCCATGTTGTTGAAGATACCAAAGAAGTGACTGTACGGCCCCAACCGGAGTTTTTAACTAAGCCGAGAGCAGGCCTAAGCAAAATTCTTAGTTTGTCAGTGTTAAATTAAGGAATTTTCAGTAGTATGTCTGTCAGAGGATTTATACTCCCCTCCCCTCCCCAATATAAAAGGTCAAGAACTATGGGTTTTCATTACCAGTAATGAGAACTATTCCCCTTGGATTCCAAAGGGTGGGTATTCGGGTATGTCTTCACAGGGTTTTATAAATTAAGAATTGAGCCAAAGCTTAGAAATCATTCTTTGTCTGACACGCGCACACACACACATGATTTAACCAAACAAAAATCTTTTCATTTGACTGTACTGTCTTTGTTTGAGAAAAAGGAAGAAAAAAATTCTCGCTCACCTGACTTTAGTACCTGCTCCTGAAGAAGGCTAAATGAGCTGCTCATTTGAGTGACAAAGAAGGCTGACTTCAGAGGGTTCCAAATTTGGGTTTGTGTTGGATAAAACTTCAATTGGTAGCTTGACAGGCAGGAAGCCTGTTGGGCTGTTGTTAGCCCATCAGACCTGCATCGCAATGGGAGCGTGATGGGGTATTTTGAGTGCTGGCATGTGAAAGCTAAAAGTGGGTGGAGGCAGGTTGGTGATGCAGGACAGTGTTTTGTAGCTGATGTCAGTCTGTCCATTTCTAGCATCTGAGACAGGCAGGAAGCTTTGATGGTCTTTTGTGTCAACAAGGGACAGCAGCCTCCTGCCTTGCTGAGTTTGCCTGCTCATGTAGAGAGCTGGTTTCCTGCAGAGTCTTGGAC